GGGGTCACGGCAAATGTACTTACTTGGTCTCTTGCCCTCAGCAGCTTCCAGTGTCACCGCTCAGATGTCCATGTGTCCATTAACCTCTGCCTTATCTCTTACAGCTGATCAAGCAGACCCCTGCAAATTCCTGGCCTGTGGGGAATTTGCCCAGTGTGTAAAGAATGAGTGGACAGCAGAAGCAGAGTGTCGCTGCAAACCAGGGCATGAGAACCAGGGGCACCAGGACGGCCTGGACCCCAGTCACTGTGCCCCTGGCACAGAGAAATGTGAGGGCATCCAGAGAAAGAGAGCTCCATGCAGGTAGGCCAAGTGCCCTGACTTCACGGACCCCCAATATAAATTCAGCCCTTATATTACTTGCCATACTTCTGAGAAAGCCATCATTAGATAAATTCCTACGGTTCTTTAAACCCATGGTTCTCAGACGTCAGTGAGTGTCAGAGTCACCCAGAAGAAGGTGTGTTAAGTAAGAACACAGAGCTGGGCCTGTTGTGCTGTTTCTGATTCAGTAGGTCTGGGGAGGGCTCAGGTGAGGTGCTGCTGCAGGCCCGAGGACCACACCTGAGAGCCGGCTCTAGGCTTTCAGCAGCATTTGCTTAAGATCACTGGGAGGGGAAGAACGAACCCACACCAGCTTTATAGGCAAAATACCTGAATGGGGGGGGAGGGGAATAAAATTTGATTTTTCACCTGTTTGCAAACACAGCTTTCACCATAAGTTGGAAAATATAGAAAATCATGAGAAAGAAAAGTCCTGTCCATCACGTAACTGTTATATTTTGGCATCCGTATTTATACAGAACTGATTTATATAGAATTTTCTGAAGCACAGTAGAATCAGACTGACTTTTTGTCGTCGGCTTTTTCTGCTTTGAACATTTCCCCATGTTGTGAAATGTTTCTGTAGCATCATTTTTGATGTTTAGTCCAGTCTCTAGATGTGTTGTGATGTGTTTAATCAGTTCTTCATTTTCAGACACAGAAAGGTTAAGAGAACTTTTGTGTCCCCTCTTCTTTTTCTTTGAAAGAGAGTCTCACTCTGCTGCTTGGGTTAAAGTGCAGTGGCCTCACTGTAGCTCCCTGCAACCTTGAACTTTTGGGGCCAAGCAGTTCTCCTGCCTCACCCTCCTGACTGGCTGTGACTACAGGCACACACTGCCATGCCTGGCTAAGTTTTCTAGAGACAGAGTCTCACTCTTGCAAGGCTGGTTTCAAACTCCTGGCCTCAAGCAGTCCTCCTGGAGTGCTATGATTACAGGTGTGACCCACCACACCCAGCCAAGAGAAGATCTTTAGAAGGAGGAAAAGGAGGCAAGATATAATTGGCCTTTTATTCACGAACCAGACTTTAGGGTGTAGGTGGTCTTCTGAACAAACAGGAAACGGGAGCGGCCATATAATACAACCTGTATTATTGACAAGGGATGGACACCCATGATAATAAGAACGCCTATGTTTCAATATAGACAAACATCCTCATACTAAAAGGAGCAAAGAACACAGAGGTGTGGTTCACAGAGGAAACCCAAACGATCCACAAGATGTAGCTGCGCTCCCTATAACTCAGGGAGACCCCAAAACCAATCAGAAGACTCCATCTGTTGCTTAAGAGTTTGGCAAAAAAGGGCTCATGATACTCAGCGTGGGGTAACATGTTGGAAAATTAGCTCTGTCAAGCACCACTGGCGGGCGTACAAATTGGAAAAGCCTTTTCAAAGAGAAATTTGTGTCTCTCTAGAACATTTTAAATGTGACTCAGGTCACAGTCTACTTTTAGACCGTTAAGCCTGCAAAGATAGTGGCACCTGTGCCCTGAGAGGTGCGCACACAGGTGTTCGCAGCCTCGGACCTTTGAATCATGAAGCACCTGGGCAGCCTGTCCGCAGGGAACAGCTGAATAATCTAGAGTGTGGGGTTTGCTCTCCATGGACGCAGAACTACGGCTGTGCTGGAGCTGCCACAGGAAAAAAAACAAGGCTTGTCACGAAGCGGGAAAGCAAGTCACAGTCTGATCCGGTACCCGTAATAAATTAATGGACCGTGTATTTATGCACTTACATTAGGTCTGGCCATACGGCATTGCCATTTTGTCAGTCACGAATCTTCAAATATTGGTGGTTTTTATGGTTCAGTGTAATATGTAAGTAAATGCACAGCATACGTGGGATAATAGACACACCTAACTCCCATTCCAGGGAACAGTGCAAAGGAGTGGAATGGGCCCAGGTTTTCAAATAATGAGTATATGTGTCATTTGTGTAATTTTTTTAAAGTGTTTTTACTAGTCAAGGGCAGCCCCGTGAGGAGGGAGGACAGAGCAGAACAAGGAGCTCTATCTGTCACTGACTGTGACCACAACTTAGACAGCACACTACCCTCGGACCTGCCCACTGTGTAATTTAAAAGACACGACCCCTGAGCGAGGCCCTCACCAGGTGGATGAGGAGAGGAGGGCTGCGTGCAGTGTGTGTCAACAGGAATGTATTCAGTTTTTATTTTACTCAGCCCTTTTGGCTGTTTCAGATAGTTGTACAATTTGTAGTTTTAAACATATCTCTCTCTTGAGTAAGAAAGATCACTTTAGCTCTAGATTGTCAGAAGTTAGATCAGTACAGCAAGGCAGGGGTGACCTGGAAGTGAACAGCTCTCACCAAGGTTGGCGGTGCGGTGCTTCCTGTGCCTGTTCCCAGGGACGATGGACCTGAGGTATTAAAATACACAGGAATCTCAATGCTCCTTAGACTAATTTAATTCAATACAGTTTCTTTTTAATTTCACATTAATATGAAGGTACAGATGATTAGGTCACAACGTTTGGGTCTGTTCGGTAAGGACCCTGTTATGCCCCTCACCCAGGAGGTGCGCCATATACCCTTACACGTGCCCATTAGTTGGGAGCTCACCAACCCCCTTTTCCTGTCCCTCCTCCCCCTCCCTGCAACTTGAATTGAGTTTTTCCCCTGTGTGCTCATGTATTAGTTCAACAACTGGCTTCGTATTAGTATTGGATGCTTACTTTTGCATTCTTGAGATACTTTACTAAGGAGAATATTCTCCAACTCTCTCCGGGTTAATACAAAAGATGTAAAGTCTCTACCTTCTTATGGCTGAATAGTATTCCACTTGGAGCACCATAGACCAGTTACCATGTTAGATGCTGGGGCAGAAAGGAAGGAGGGAGGCAGGGAGGGAGGGGAAGAGAAGTGGGCAGAGATGATACCAAGTGACATCCATGAGGACATTTTAATAATATAGAAGGACTTGCTACATTATTAAATGGTTCATAATTTGAGCAATCACTTTAGGCAGCGCAGTTCCCTTGGAATATAAAGTAAGTGTGACTTTCCTGTTCTCACCAGCTCCTTGGGAGAGTTTCTGATCCCTGATTCCCCACCTGTGACCTTAGTTCTGGTCCCAGGCATCCACCCCTTCCCTGGTAGTGTCAGAGCCTCCGTATCTCCGGATCAGGGTGAATATGGGAACCAAAAATGCTGCCTTTGGTGTGAAAGGGAGAAAAGGAACTTGTCATTTGATCTCCTTAAACTCTACCCTCCCCCCCTCCTCTGCGTTCTCCCCATCAAGCCCAGGCACTGAGACGGGACTTTCCTCTGTTCCACTTTCCCTGAAATTATCATAGCATGAGAGAAAAGAGAACAGCTATCAAGGGAACACACGTAGGAAGGGCTCCCCCAAATATTAGACCCATTTTTTTATGTAAGAGAGGAAGACCAAGGAGTGCAAGATGTCTGACCAATGGAAATTATAAAACATCTCTAGAGAAAGGTCTGGACTTACACACATCAAATTCAAAAATAAATTTCAATTTTTGAAAAATTTTAATCAACACATAATGGACATATTTAGAGGGCCCAATGTGATGTTTTGATACATGGACGCATTGTGTAATAATAAAATGAGGGTATTATCTCCTTCTAGTGGGAAATCAGTCCTCTCTTGTGTTTTGAAATACATGTTATTGTTAATTAGTTGCCCCACTGTGCAAGAACACTCTAGAACTTACTCCTCCTAGCTGTGATTTTGTGCCCATTGACCAGCTTCCTCCCATTTGCCCCGCCATCCCTGTCTCTGGTAATCACTATTCTATTTTTTATTTCTATGCGATCAGCTCTTTAGTGCAGTATGTGTCTTCCTGAGTCTGGTTACTTAACACAGTGTCATCTAGGTTCATCTACATTGTCGCAAATGGCAGGATTTCGTTTGTTTTTGCGGCTGAATTGTATTACATTTTGTATAGACACACGTTTTCCTAATCCACCCATTTGTTGCTGAGAACTGCGGCTGGTGGGACACCTTGATGTTGCAGCAGTACAGGGCGTGCAGATCCGGCGGTGAGACGCTGATTTCACCTCCTCAGGATACAGCCCACAGTAGGACTGCTGGAGCACAGGGCAGTTCCAGTTTAAATTTTTTGAAGAAAAGTGTTTTCCATAATGGCTCCTCTATAGTCCCATGAACGGTGTTTACCCACTGTTCCCTTTTCTCCACATCCTCACGAACATTTATTTACCTTTTGTCTTTATACTGAGTAAGGTGATACTGTGGTTTAAATTTTACGAACAAGACACTATTTACAGAGTTGTTTTCCAGCCACCACAACTCTAAACTTGACTTGAAAAATAACTCTACTTTTTACAAGATGAACTTACCCTCATCTTCCCCACGAGCGTCCTTCAATCCTTCTGAGACCACTGCCTAAGACGTAGTGACCCAACCGAAAGGCAAAACTCGGGGCGGGGGGCTGGGGCTGCAGAAAGTGCACTTCCTCCAACCCAAATGGAAGACACCTGCGAAAGTCCGCTGGCCATTCTCCCTTGTCATAATTTGAAAACTAAAATAGTGGAAAGCTGTTGGTAAGCCCAGAAAACAGGTATCATACTTCTGCTTTCTTTGCAGGTCAACAGATCACTCTAAAAACCAACCATACAAAACGCGTGTGAAAAAGTTCAAAAATCAACAAAGTAACAAGGTAAATTCAAATTTTCTTTTGTATGTTGGTCTTAATTACTGAATTTGAATTTTGAAGGAAATTTAAAGCATCTCTGTGCCTGGATTCTGTAGCTGAATAGAAATAAGTAAAACACTTTTCCTTTACTTGCCAGACTTTTTAATTTACTGTTTTCAGGGGGGAAAAAAAGGTATTTCCTTATGCAAGGACAGACAGAAGGCCAGTGTTAACTGAAATGTGCAGATAAAATAATAAAATAAGAAAAGCAATCCAAGGCCAGGAGCAGTGGCTCACAGCTGTAATCCCAGCACTCTGGGAGGCCACGGCAGGAGGATCCCTCGAGCTCAGGAGTTCAAGACCAGCCTGAGCAAGAGTGAGACCCCATCTCTATTAAAAGTAGAAAAATTGGCTGGGCACTGACCAAGCCTGCAGCCCCAGCAGCATGGGAGGCTGAGGAAGGAGGATCACTTGAGCCCCAAAATTTGAGACTGCACCAATGGTGACACCATTAGGCAATACAGTGAGACCCCCCTCTGCAAAGAGGGGGAAAAAAAAGTATTTTATAATATTGTCAATCTTTTCTTGTAAAAATATAGTCTGTGATGGTGACAGTGGAGGATAATCAGCCAGTGTCCACTCTGCCTGAGATCTGTACTGCTGGGTGAAAACAAATGCTTTAAAGCTTGCACCTGAAAAGGTTATCACAATCAATACACAATCAGGGGTACTGAGGAAGTCACACCAAATGCTAAGCATAATTTTGTCTCCAAGTTCACATTTGGAATGTGAGCCACTTTTAACTTCTTGAAACCAAGGTAACTGGAGGAACAGAAAACGTTCAGAGTAGGGCCATAAAATGACAGCAGGACACAGGATCTGATTTTGATAAAATGTCCAGGATGAAGGAAATACCTACTAAATCTTGAAGTATTAAGTGGTTGAGTGTCACGGTAGGAAGTAAACTTGAAGAACTGTGTCCTGTTCCTTGGCAGGAATGACAAATGTTAAAGACCGAGGCTGCTTATGCATCACCACGTAGATTGCTGAGTTGAGAGAGATTCAGAGGAAACATCTGAGTTCCGCAGGGAAGAGTTCTAAAAAAGATTAGTGATGTCTGCTGTGGTTGGAAGGGGACATGGTGACCATTCACAGACTTTGCCACCCCTACTGCAGAACTGGGTCATCCTGAGAATCTAAAGAGGTTTGAGAAGAGATGGAATAGATTTCTAGTAGATTAAAGCTAGGAATATTTGGAGGGCATCTTCAATCTTTCAAGAGAAGCATTCTAAATGGCCAGCATCTATCCTCTCATCCACCAGGGGAGTTAACATTGCAGTGAACCACTGACCCCAGTGGCATTTCTTAAGTTCTTAAAACTATTTCTTTTCAGGTAACCAGGAAAAGAAATTCCGAATTACTGACTGTAGGATATGAAGAATTTAACCATCAAGATTGGGAAGGAAATTAAAAGATGAAAATACACATATTATCATTTAGGCTATTTCAAGGGAGACAATTTGCTTTCTCAGGGAAAGCTGTACGCACTCTGAAAACAGGCAGGTATGTTCACTGGTCACCAGGCAGAATCCAGGCATAAGTCAACACTGAGAACCAGCACACAGCATGTTTCAACTAGGGGGAGTCGTGTACTTGATGACTGATAAATCTAAAGAAAAAGGCGCTTATTATTAAAACTCTAGACATAATCAGTGAACATTCTGACTATTCTTGGATGCTAGTCAAGGTGATAGTAAACCAGTTTTGCCCTTAAAATATTACTCAAGATCATTTGTAACAAGCGCCACTTACTTACTGTTTGGGGAGTTAACAATGTATCAGGAAACAAACTCTTCATATGCTACCATGTACATCTACAAGATGAGAACGTGTGCAAGGAGATGCCCTTCTCTCCACACTCAAGAACAGACCTGGTATGTGAGCACTGCGGTGTGTGTGTGTACGCTCCACACAGCAATGTCTGAGCTCACACACACACTTCAGTCTTCAGGTGTTAAACATACTAGTTTTATATAAGCAATTACTATTTATACACTAGGTTTTTTACTGCCAATAATTTTTAAATTATTCTCTAAAAGAAAGAGGAACTGAGGTTCAGACATACATACCATGAAAAATCAGACTTTTCTTGTTAATACACAAAGCTATGTTAAAGGGAAACACTATGTTGAGGGTGGTGGAGGTAAAGCTGTGTCACGTGATTTTAACCAACTCCTATTTTCCACACAGATGAAGTGTCCTGAAGTAAGTTCCCTGAGTAATTGCTCACACTAACTCTTGTGTGCGTGCACTTAGATTGGCACCAATGTAACCTGGCTAGGCAGTTTTTAATATGCTACTTAATGAAAATGAATCCTTCTGCATCTCCATCAGTTGTTCCATTATCAAATATATCTGCTACAAACTTTAATTTCAATAAAATAATCATATTCATAGACTTACAATAAAATTATTCTGTGTTTTATTAGATATTCCCTAGGTTTGTTTTATAGGTTCAATACATGATATTAAAGATGAAGATTTTAGTGCTGCCAGAATACAGAAAAATAGTTAACACCGATAACAACATATAAGTAACAGCTTCAAAAATAAAAATGTTTCCCAATAACAGGGACAATCGGGGATGAGGGGGGAGGAAGTGGTATTCCTACATGTGGCATGGTCCCAAAACCTTGAAAAAAATCACTCTTGTTGGTTTCAAAAATGTGTAGCTTCCATCACCATTTCTGTCTCAATCCTCCCCCCAAAGTGAAAATCTGAGAAAATGACTTCAAACTGAATTATGACAGATGCCACAGAGCAGAGAATGGTGGCAGGAAGCGTCCTCACCTGCCTCCACATCCCTGTAACTTCCCAGAGGGAAAACATTTTGTGAAACAGCAGGTAAGGAGAAATAACCTAAGTGGGAATGGTGGAAACTGGGAAAGACAGACACAAGAGACTAAAGATGGTATGGGGAGGACAGGGGAGGACAGGGGCAGCTGATGACTGCAGCCAGCACTGAACTGTGGAAACAGCTTCGTTTAGGCTGGCACCTGTGGCTCAAAGGAGTAGGGCACTGGCCCCATATAAGGGAGGGGGCAGGTTCAAACCCAGCCCTGGCCAAAAACTGCAAAAAAACAAAAAAGCTTCATTTATATAAGTATCTTTAACAAGGTAAATCTAACACTGGGGGTAAAGGATTAACCTTAAGGAGGAAAAGCTGTGAGCTTGCTGGTAATAAGGAAAGTATGCACTTGACTTCTGGCAGAGGAGAAAAGAATGTTTGTTGTTAAAGGAGGAGAAGCAGCTGGGGGTCATTCCCTGAACGTCTCCCCAGGCTGTGGGGGCTCTGCCGCCTCACAGCCCATTCCCCATAAAAACAAACTTGCTTCATAGAAGTACAATGGGCCAAGCAAAAGCACACAAAACAAATTCCATCAAAAAAAGGAAGGCTCCACCACTATCACTCCCTACATTTCAGTGTGCTCTAACTCGTGTAGGGAATATAAGTTTTGACAAGGAAAGAGTAGTAAAAACTATATTCTGTGGAGAAGGGTCCTCTTTTGTTAAGTGCCTCTCACTCTTCAGATCATCCAACTTCCTCTTCCACTCTCAGAAGCCCCACCAGGAATATAGTCTAGCAAGGGAGACGGGAGGGGGGAGAAGGGGGGAGAGGGAGGGTGACTGGTGGGATCTCACCTCACGTGCACATGGGAGGGTGTTCAGCACACCCCCTGGGTGAAGGGCTCAACTACAACTTGAACTTTTCCTTGGAAGGGAGAACAACGTAACCTAAAAATTTGTACCTTCATAATTAATTTGATTTTTAAAAATTCATTAATTAAAAAAAAAAAAAGAAGCCCTACCAGGATCATGGTAGGTTCCAGACAAGGGGTGTGGAGCAGGCTGTAGAGACCAACTATATATATATATATGAAGCCTTAGGGAGAAAGACCTCTTTGGGTTCCAAGTTTTTATATCCTGTCTTCTCACAGACAGATCAGCAAGGGCTGGGGAAAGAAAGCCAACATTCGGTTTACCGAGGCAAAATGTAGTGGCAGCTCACACATAGTCCTGTCTGCTCCTTAGAGATCACACAGAAGGCTGGGGCCAAAATGTAGAGCTGTTTGAGGCATCTGAGTCCCTTGCTGAAGCATCAGGGACCCAGGCTTCTCCCACTTACTCCATCTGAGACGCAGCCAACAAGCACAGCATCTACACACACCTCTGTTCATGACACCGCAGAACTCTATTAAAAGCACAAGATGAAAGATAAAGTTCTACACAGACAGCATTTATTTGCATTTCCAGTACATCAGTGTTTTAGGAAGGTATTAGATACACAGTTTTAATGAAATCAGGAAAAATTAACAGTTGCAACTAACTGAATTTTCAGAAGGAAAAAGAAAATGGCCAATTAATAAGCCTTTTTGTGGTTTAAAGGTGAGCATTTGTTCAAATTAGGGTGAAAGACTCTCCTTTTGGATGAGCATTAATTTTTCCTGATTATCTCTTGCAAAACTTCTGAGATGACTAAACTTCTGTCCTATATTAGGGCAGTAATGGGAAAGGAAACTCTGATTTGAACTGAACTTCACTTTCTCCAAACACAGGGTCCTGGCATGGGTGGGCTTTACCCTGGCGAGTCTGTTTTCCCCTCCCAGGAGGCTTATGTCCAGAACACCTGCTTAGCGCTGACCTTTTCCTGGGTGACAGCACAATTCCCACACGCCAAGAATTTATGCTCCAGGTGTATTCTGATCCAAGTCTTAATAACCATGGGCTCTGGCTCTCATGTTACATACAATTCATTCTAAAACTCAACAAATACCTAGGACACTCTGCTGCCTAAAATGTTATCAGTAACCCCAGGGGGTAACGTAGGGTCATAAGGGGCAGCCACGGTCCTGTCTCTTCCCTACTGTTACACCTGTTTGCCCCACCCCCACCCCCTTTGTGTGCATTCTCATTTTCAGAGATCCTCCACTCTCCTCCCCACTCGTCAATTTACCTTCTAGGAGACTTGGTGAAACTCTCAGTACTTGTTATTACTGGCACTGATAGGCACAAACTGGCTTCCCTTCTGAAGATGTGAAAATGGGGGG